TCTAAATAAACATCATAATTTTTCTAAAAATGTGATTTACAAATAAAGTATTTAATCTTTTGTATAGTCTATTTGGAACACATGACAATTTAATTCTTTGATGTCATTTTAAACCAGCATAGCCATTTTTGTTGTTTCACATGTGACCATGATCAAATTAAATCAATAGCTCTAGTGCCTATAGTTAGGTTGAAATCAACACATAAGACTTACTATACACATCATGATCAAGGACCAAGACTTTTTAAATTAATAATATCAAGATCAAAACATCAAGGGCATTAAATTTTGTTCGTTAAGGCATCAAGGTCTAAATAACAATTCCTTGATTGCAGTCACAAGTAAAACAACAGGCTATATGTGACACCTAGTCTGGTGTGACTGACCCACCTGACTAAGTGTCACAATAAAGAGAGTCTGTTAAAAAGTTTTGTGACTCTTTTGCATTCAAAACACGCTGTGATATGTGTTGTCTATGATACATACATGTACATTTACATGTAAGCCTGCATAATAAAAATAACCATGTTCTGTGAACAATTTAATCACTCATTATATAGGTACATGTAATGTCAATAATTTATATTCTTTATCTTATTTTGTAGTCAATGTCACCGCATGAAATGCATGAGTATGATGTTGAGATGTTAACTGATGAGCCAGTAAGTAAATAATTTGTATAAAATAACTCTACACACTATAGATTGTTAAAGTGTTATAATATAGCATAGATGGGTTGTTAATAATTTACTCTTTTTTCTTAATTTATAGTCAATGTCCTCACGATGGCCTGAAAGGAAACAGTTGTCAACATTCTCAACAAGTTACTATGATGATGAAATGTCAGCTGAACTAGTAAGTAAATAATTTGTATAAAATACATCTATACATTATAGATTGTTACAGTGTTATAAGTGGTATAATATAGCAGAGATGGGTTGTCAATAATTTACTCTTTTTTTCTTTATTTATAGTCAATGCCCTCATTACAGCCAGAAAGGAAACAATTGTCAACAAGTCGCTATGATGATGAGATTTCAGCTGAGCCAGTAAGTAAATAACTTATAAAAATACATGTACACACTGTACATTGTAAAAGTGTTATAATTAAGTAGCATAATATGGCAGATGTGGGTTTTCAATAATAATTTACTCATTTTTCTTCATTTATAGTTAATGCCCTCATCATGGTCAGAAAGGAATCCATTGTCAACATTCTCCACAAGTCACTATGATGATGAAATGTCAGCTGAGCTGGTAAGTAAACAATTTGTATAAAATACACGTGCACACTGTACAATGTGAAAGCGTTATAATTAAGTAGAACAATGTAGTAGATGTGGGTTTTCAATAATTTACTCATTTTC